GGCCCCACACATCTCAGATATGAGGAGAATATAAAGGGTCAGGGCCTGGGTTAATATGGATGTTACAGCGCTCCTCTCCCCCAGGATGGTGCACTCGGGCCGAGGAGGAGAGGGCAGAGAGCGGGGGGATGAGGAGGAGGTCTGGATGTCTGTGGTGGTGATGAAATTAGTAGGAAGTAGCAGCTAAACAACACAGGGAGTTCAAGGTCCTCTATTACTGAGTCCCCAGGGTTTGGGCGTGCAGTGTAATTCTAGTTTTTATGCTGCATGTACACAAACACAGTCAGACACACTCATGTACATGTTGTAGCCCTTTAGCCTTACTCTGATGACATAGTTAGTTTTTGTCCATTTTTAAGTCCTTTACTTAGGGTGACCAAACATCCCCATTTTCCCCCGGACATGTCCGTATTTTGCGTCCTGTCTAGAGGTGAGATCGGGCCTAAAAAATCCAGCCCGACCCGACCCGGCCCGCGGGTATTAAAACCCGACCCGGCCCGCGGGTATTAAAACCCGACCCGGCCCGCGGGTATTAAAACCCGACCCGGCCCGCGGGTATTAAAACCCGACCCGGCCCGAGCCCGACCAATTAACTTGATTTGCAGGCCCGAGCCCGAAGCAAACCCGAAATGTCATATATTATTTGTGAGGACTCGGGAGGAGGAGCAGTGCTCAGCGTCGAGGTGCCAGTCTTTTTGCTCTCGTATGAAAGCAAAGCGCCACATTGACGACATTCAGCGAAGCCAACGCAAGTTTCTGTAGCATTTTCAACAATCAATTTGAAGCTTTTCCACACCTCACTCTTACCGGTGCGTGTTTGTCTTTTCAGTTCTCCTGCCTTTAGTTTAACTTCTTGCTCCTCCATATTGGGGACACCAGGTCAAAATAGATGCAGACTTGCGGAGGGGAAGATTATTAAATGAAGAGGGGGCGTTCACGTGCGCAGAGCTCTGGCTCTGCGGATCCTGTTTAGTAGTTAAATAGCAATTACATTACTTCTCTGTTTTATCCATATTATTTATTTTATAACAAGTATTCCTTAGTTTAGTATCCACACATCGTTTTAGCATACATTTTATAAACATATATTTATTTGAAGCCCGAGCCCGACCCGACCCGAAGTAATGATTGACATTTTAGACCCGACCCGACCCGGGTCGGGCTTGGGCTCGGTCTTAAGATCTTACCTCTAGTCCTGTCCTGGGCGTCCATTTTTTTTTTTTTTTTATAAAGTGATGCAAATGTCCAGGTTTCCATTACTGTTCATTAGGGGCATTAAACTGAGCGTCTCTCGTAGCGTCTGTGACTCAGAAGGAGCGAGACACAAACAGTCAGTCTCCAACATGCCGAAATGCAAATGCACATTTAACAATGACTTGTACAAGAACATTCTCCATTTTCCGGCTCGGTCGAGACAAGTGAGAGGCCATGTGCACAGGTTTTGAAGTGAGAGTACAGTGGTCTGGTTACACAGACCACTCTGGTACAGAGAGTACAGCTGGTTTATCGCAGGTGTTACGAAGTAGTCAACTTTATATTTTACAATTATTATATCTGTTTTAAGGCTGTAAAACCCCTCAACACAAACTTTATACACTTTTTTCAGACAGGACAGGTACTTTTTACCTCCTTCTTAAAACTTATTGCTGCTGTCGTCCTTTTGTTATTTTCCTCCTTCTTTATGTAATGAACCAAAGATTCTTTTATTCCGTAATGGAGCCTACAGCGCAGAGTCCTGCACGGGTCCTTTTTTGGAGACCCCCAGTACAATACTGCACCCGCCCGTTAACCCGAGATTATATCAAACTTTTGCGCTGCCTACGCCATGGACTGAACTAAGACTAAACCAGGACTAACCCAGGACTGATTCCAGGACTGAACTAGGACTAAACCAGAACTGAAACAGGACTCACTGTCGGGGTGGGCTCGGAGGTGACCACAGGAGAAAGGACTTGCTCAGTTCCGCACCTCACGGAGGTAAACGCAGCAATTCCCTGGTCGCGCTTTGTGGAGAAACTGCTCGGGGTTCTCTCTCTTAAGTCCAAGATTAGTCCTGGTTTAGACCTGGTTTAGTCCTGACCCACCCATGTGTAAAAAAAAAAAAAACAGAAAAAGAAAATCCATGAAACGGCGAGACCGCGAAAGGTGTAAGGTGTCCGGGTTTTCACAAATGGAAATATGGTCACCCTACCTTTACTCCTTATTTATTTTGATTGTGTGCTTTTACTCTCCTGCTGTTCTTGAACTTTACGTTTCAACACTGTAATTTCCCCAGTGTGGTACAAATAAACAGTTGTGGAAGAAGTACTCAATTTTGTTACTTAAGTAAAAGTACAGATACAGGAGCAAAAAAATGATCAAAAGCAGCAAAAAAGGAACAAAAAACACTCGAGTAAAAGTATTAAAGTACCTGTTTAAAAATGTACTCAGAGAGCAAAAAGTAAAAGTAGTTTGTACAGATTTACAGATCTAATAAAGCTTCAAATGTGTTGATTTTGATGCAGATTGAATCAATCGTGTCTTCCAAGCTGTTTATTTGTATATTTCTGTTTCCTCAAACTATGAGCATGTTATAAATAAACCCTCAGGCTTTTCAGCATCTCACACAAAAAATAAAAAATACTTCTACTTTTCAATGCTGTTCAAAAATGCAGTGGAGTAGAACGTAGATACGTGCTCTCAATTAAAGTGAAGTAAAAGTAAAAAGTATTCAAATGTACTTAAGTAAAGTGCAGATGCCTAAATTCTATACTTAAGCACAGAACTAAAGCAAATAAATGTTTATCTTATCTACAAGTGATAGTGTATAACTTTCTAGAGGTGGAACGTCGCCTGTATGCTTCCATGGAAATACAAAATTAAACCCATCATAAGTCCAGGGTTCCCACAGTTATGGAAATCCTGGGAAAGTCATGGAAACTGAAAATGTCACTTTCCAGGCCTGGAAAAGTCATGGAATTTTTTTATCTCTTTCGTGCAACTCCAGCGTTCTGTTAAGTTCTCATGAGGTTATTCTGATTATTTCTGAACGTCTGCACCTTTTGTATAAAAGAGACGACAATAAATGCACTGACAGGATTTTGAATGTTCAAAAACTATAAAACCAAACCATAAGGTGAGTGGAAAGAGTTCACATTTCATATTTAGCCCTAAAAGTCTAATAAATTCTACACATGTAGGTGCAGTAAAGACATGGAAAATGCACTTTAGGTCATGAAAAAGTCATGGAAAAGTTTTGAAATGTTGTCAGTGAAAAACCATTGTCAGTGGGAAGCCTGTACATCATCATCATACATGCACACACAAACATTGTCTGTGGAGATAGATCAGTTTTATACCATACACTGGAAGATTACAGTCAAAGGAGCATTTCCATGGAAACAGGCAGGAGGCCCTCCTCCGGGCCAAACAAGTCTATTTTGTTGAGATAAAAGCTCGCTCAGAGTAAGGACACATGTTTTTCTGTTTTTCACTGCAATAAAAACATCCAGTTTGTTTGTTTGACTCTGTTTTAGACAAAATGTTATATATTGTAGCTTTAAAGTTGTATTCTTGTTTTTTCTGTCCTATTTTCAATGAATGTATCTTATCTAATTGTATGACTAAAGTAAACCGAGATGAAGCACTTGTCCTGTGTCAGATCTCCTCCTCCAGAAACATGGAGGACATAGTCAGTCTTTTTATCTGAGCTTCTACTGTACTGTTCTCAAACCATCCCCAAGACAGAACCTTGAAGGGCTTATTTTATGCATTTTCTCTAAATCTGAAAACATTCTGTCCCACCTTGTGATGTGCTAATACCAATTACCAAACTCTACCAAACTAAATAAAAGGTAAAAGGGAGCTGCTAACTACCACTTCTACTTTATGCAGACTATTTTAAGCTTCAGAGATGTAGACAAACGAATAAAGCAGAGTTACTCAAACATGAGGAAACTACATTCAATAAAATCAATAAAACTACTTACATACGATAATTACTTCATACCATTATCGTGTATTTTTTGGATTATAAGTCGCTCTGGAGTGTAAGTCGCACCAGCCAAAAAATGGGTAATAAAAAAGAAAAAAACATATACTGTATGTCACACAGGACTATAAAGCGCACTTTTTGGGGGAATTTTATTTTATAAAATCAGAGACCAGGAAGCGACATTTCCTGTTGAAAGTCAAGTTCTAGTAATAATAGAAGAGAGAACAACAGACTGTTAACGTCACATATGAACAGTTCTTCAGATAAACTATAACATAAACAACAGAACAGAACAAGTTTTACCAAACTCTCTCCATCTCACTCCAAATCACTAAATCCATTCAATTCTTCATCCTCGGTGTCACTTCTGAACAACTCGGCCTCGACCTCCGGAGGTAAACAGAGCGCCACTTCCTCTTCTGTGTCGCTGTTGTCAGACTCAGCATCAGTTCCAGTTAGAATTATTCGGGTCTTTCTGAATCCTGACAGGATGGTTTCGGTGTCACTGAAGTCCAGACTTTGTCCATCCATCCAGTGACTTCAGGAAAGTTTCATGTTACATCCTCCCGGTGTCACAAGTTTCTCTCTCACTCCAGACTTTCTTTCTGCTGCTCGATTATCGTTTTCAGCTGCAGATTTCACGACTTGCAACTTGAAATCTGCAAAATGCGATTTTCTTTTTGGGGGCATTTGTGTTCAGTTTTCTCAGTCGTCTTAATAAGTTTATTTAAATGTTAAATTGTTCAGTGGTGCAGAAGTAATCGGTGCGATCGACTGACATGATACAGACAGGACAGAGGCTCTTTCTGCAGGAGACATGTGCAGTAGAGTGAAGTGACAGTGGTACAGGAGGAACAGGAGCAGCAGATACTCACACACAAGACTAGAACCTCTCGCTACTATCAGTGTGAACATTTTAATATATAAGTCGCAGGAAACACCCAAACCATGAAAAAAGTGACACTTACAGTCCAAAAAAATCCATTCTACTTTTTCATATTTCTTGCCTCTTCTCTCTCTTCTCCAGATCGAGGAGCGCAGACACAGCGAGGGCTCCAACTCCACCTCCTGCGTCTTCATGGTGAACAAACCTTACGCTCTGACCTGCTCTGTGGTGGCCTTCTACATCCCCCTGGTCCTCATGGTCCTGGCCTATCAGAGGATCTACGTCACCGCCAGGGCCCACGCGCTCCAGATCTCCATGCTCCAGAGAGCCGGGGGAGCCAGCCTCGCCGTGGACTCCGCCGACCACCAACGAAACCACCGAATGAGGACTGAGACGAAAGCCGCTAAGACTCTGTGCATCATTATGGGCTGTTTCTGTTTATGCTGGGCGCCATTTTTCGTGACAAACGTGGTGGACCCCTTCATCGGGTATACAGTCCCGGAGCAGCTGTGGGCGGCCTGTCTCTGGTTGGGGTATATAAACTCCATGTTGAACCCCATTCTCTACGCCTTCCTGAATAAGTCTTTTCGCCGTGCGTTCCTCATCATCCTGTGCTGCGGGAGGAAGAGGTACAGAAGGCCGTCCATTTTGGGGACCCCGCAGTGCACGACGACGCAGATCAACGGCTCCACGCACGTGCTCAAGTAAGGCCTGATTTGACTTCTCTATCACAATGTTCAGGCGTTTTCATTGTGCTCACTGTGGGGTGTTTGCACGCTCAGTAAAAATCTGCTTTTATTCAGGACGTTGCCTTGTCTTTTGATGATTTTGTGATTTTGCACAGAGCTGACAATCTCTAGAGCAGGGGTCTCCAACGGTTTTTCCTCTAGTGAGCGACTTTAACCAAACGAAAATGCCAGAGAACAACACATTTTAGCAGTCGCAAGAAAAGAGTGCAAGTCTTAGATGGGGTACAGTTAGATTAGGGTGACCAGATTTTCACATTTCAAAACTGGGATACACCCGGGTTGCGATGGTTGGTATAAATCAGGGGTCTCAAACTCAAATTACCTGGGGGCCACATTAGATAAAGTCTGAGAGAGGCTGGGCCACATTGAGTATTTGATAAATAGAGTTTGCATGAAAAAAAAGAGAGAGAGAGAGAGAGAGAACAACATGCAACACACTTTCTTAATCTTTAATAACAGTTCAGAACATGAAAATGTATTCAGAATGTAAGTTTAAACTAATACGTCTACTCTTCTTCTTTTGCCTACTCCTTGCTGGATGAAACCTAACTACGCCCGCAGCAGGGGGGTGGGATTGTGCGTACATCTACCGTGGGCCGCACTGACATTATTCTTTGGAATTAAGTGGAGGGCCGCAAAAATCCTTCCGAGGGCTGCAGTTGGCCCCAGGGCCGCGAGTCTGAAACCCCTGGTATAAATAAAATAGTGCAAAGAGCGCGTAACATTGTCCATTCTTGTGTCAGTCTGAGGTAGCTTGATGCGTCAGCAACAAATCCCGTAGGAAGAAGGGCAATAACGTCTTTCACCTTGATGAAATTCACCAAATATTCTCTTTGTTCCGGCTTTAATTCCTCGATCTCGTCTACATCTCATTTCATCTTCATCTCCATCCATCTCGACCCCTTTGTTTACTGTTGTGCTGTTCCACAAAATGGACCCAGACAGACGCTTGAGTTTGACGTCATGGCTTCACAGCTCTTCGCTGATTGGCCGATGCGCGGTCTACAACTTCCAGGGTTCTTGCAAACCGTCTAGTGTATTCTGATTCCTGACCTAGTCGCTGGAGAGAATTTAAATAGAGTGGAGGCACTAGGTGTTGCAGCCGCCTCGCTAAATCTGAGGAGCATCTGCCACTGCATTTTTTTGCTTTATAGTCATTCGCAAACATGGATTTCTGTATTTTGGCCAAACAAGAGACAATATATGCTCCTTGTTACTGTTGTCAGGGATCAGATTAGTCAAAAATTGTGATAGTCCAGTATTAGTTCTGGTTTAGACCTGGTGTAGTCCTGGTTTAGATTAAATTGGTCGAAAAATAGGGACACCTGGGACATTTCTTGTATAAAACTGGACAAATTTGTGGTTTTGGATAAATCTGCTGGGACAGGGGACACAGGGCTCAAAAATGGGACTGAGTAAATAGGAACATCTGGTCACCCTAAGTTAGATGCCTATACAACATAAACCATTATCCGTTTATTAGTGCACCACTGGAGTTCGGCACCACTGTTAATAGTCATGCATTTAATCAATTTTGACTCATTCAGCATAATACGTATAATCAGAAATCCCTTGGTGAGCTACTTGGAAGGTGTTCCCGAGCTACAGGTTGGAAGGGGTCTCCAACCTTTTTCCTCTGCTGAGCTACCTTTACAAAACGAAATGCCAGAGAGCTTTTCATTTTAGCGGTTGCAAGAAATGGGTTAAATATAAGATCCTTAGATGGGGACAGTTTGATGCCCATAAAACATTTACACAACTATCATCCATTTATTAGTGCACAGTTATTCATCAGAGCGATACATTTACAGTGGTAGTCAGTAGTGAAGGGCGAGTGGAAGCCTCGTGAAGCACTGACACCTCAGTCGCAATATTGTCTCAAATGGTTGGACGTGTCTGAGGCCTCGGAGAACAATCAGACATAGTGTAAGACAATACTTGTGTGCAGAGCGACACCGTACCTAACAACAACAATAATAATGATGATTTAAAATAATATGTAAAGAGCAACATAAATAACATGATGTAAATAAGAAAATAGGTGTTTCCTTGTTAGGTGGAATTAGATCAAAGTGATCCCAAACCATGGATCACTTTTTTCCACTTGTAGATGCCATCGAAAATGAAATAAATGCCAAAAGTCGCCAAAATCATCAATAACATCACACAATACATTTTCAAGAAATATTGGTGCATCTTTTATACTGTAGCAGTTTAGCGCTTGTCAAACCACAGAAGTGCGCTGAACACTCTGAACCAATCACAGAGCGGAACATTCACTGAGCCAATGAAACGCTTCGATACACTGAAGCGATTGACACACAGAGTGAAGCAGTCGGGCAGGGGTGTCAAACTCATTTTGTTCCGGGGGCCGTATCCAACCTACTTTGATCCCAAAGGGGCCGGATCAGAAAACTCATGTCATATAAACCCCAAAAAATAACAATAAGTTCAAATATTTGTGCAGAGAAACAAATCTATTACAGAAAATATTTTTAAATTGATGAACTCTTTCTTATTATAATATTATGAACAACCTGAAACTTTAAGAAAAATTCAATTTCAACACAATGTTTTAAAATGAACTTGTTTGCAAACAGGAATAAGTCAATTTTTGTTGTAAAATCCTGCACATCGGCTCCACTTTTCTCATGTTGGACATTTCTGATGAGGGTGTCACGGTCAACAGTCAAAACAATCGTCCTTTAAGAGCGTTTGGAAAAGAGACAAGTCTTCATTTGTGCTGCTCTGGGAGGGCCACGTGAGAGCTGACTGTGATAAACACCACAGAAATTATAAATATTTTAATAGAAAATATAATTAAAATATTTTAGTAGAAAATCACCCAAGGGCCACATTAAAGTCTTGGAGGGCCGGATCGGCCTTAGGTTGACACCTGTGCAGTAGGGGGAGGGACCGACACTTCCACACTTTGGTCACGTGAGCGGCTGCGAGACGAGCTCCGAGGCAGTGCTTCAGAGCAATTTGTTTCAGTTTCCCATCACTAGTAGTAAGTATTTAATTAAATCAGATTTTAGTTATTCAGCACAATAGGTGTAAATCAGCGAGCTACTTGGAAGGGGTTGGAGATCGACCATTTGCTCCCGAGCTACACGTTGGAGACTCCTGCTCTAGAGCAAAGAAGTTAGACTACAAAGCTATTTTCAAACCTCCAAGAGAGAGGGTACGTTGTTGACTTGTTGGTGCACATGGACATTCAACATTTTATCCAGAACAACCATCTTTATTTAACACATTAGTAGTGAGACTTTTCTCTACTTCTCCATTGAAATTCATGGGATTCCTGCAGTCTTGGGCAGTGGTTCTGAACTTGGTGGACAAATGACTAAACTAGGGCTAAATCCTCTTTTTTTTTTTTGTATTTTGTATTTGGTCAAACAAGCAATGAATATATCCAGAATAGAAAATGAGATCAACCACTTCTTTTCAAATAGTCGTATTGTTTTGTGGCTCTGACTCATTTGCGCATTCAGAATTCTCGCTTTTCAATTTGAATTTTTGCCACGCTCTGACAAAGGCCAGTCGGTAGAAAGGCACTGGCGCCCCTCATTATGCAATAAAGGATTTTTCATACGATCTGTCAGTGCGCCTCGGGTTTGTGGTTCGCCCATTGGTGGTTTTCGGATTCCACTTTGTCATACTTTTCGTGTCATACTCTCAGACGGGATCAAGGGCCAGTTTTTCCTGTCGATTACACTGCACTTTGCCAAGAAATATCCAAAAGGTCAATTCAGAAATGTTGAATCTGATCATTTGTATAGATGTTTTTCACAATGACCGGAAGTGCTGCGATGTTGGGTAAATGTCACTTGCTTTAAGGCTTTTCTGTAGCAAAATATCTGTGGAAATGACTTGTGTATTTTCCACCAGCTTCACAAATCTGCCCCATCACCAAATCTTCATCCAACAAGGTCCACAAAGGATAAATATTCTAACATGAACAATTTATTCACAACTATCAAGGTAAGAAAGATGAAAACGTAAAGGCGAAAAAGTGAACTACTAAACAAAACTAACATTACGGTCATGAAGAATTAGAATTTGATTTTATTTGTTTGGTTTTCGAGGGGGTCCTCATAAATACAATGACAAAAGACAGACACAGTAGAGCAGACAGTAGGAGACATAACTTCAAATAAGCATCAAAACAACAAAATCAACACAACCACAGACACACACACACAGTCACACACTCACTCATGCTTGGCTGTCTGACATAATAAAACAAATTTGAAATTAATAAATTAATAATAAATATTATTTTATTATATTATTATATTATTATTATTATTATTATTATTATATATTATTATTATTATTATTATTATTATTATTATATAATAATAATAATAATAATAAATAACGTAAAGATAATGCTGAGTGGTTGGAGAATAGAAGTTGTAGTGTTTTGATAAATGATATCGCAGTAAACTAAAATGTGAAAAAATCTGTTGTGAGATCATCTTTTTCCTAAACAACTGATGGACTGATAAAGTAATTTTAAGCGATATGAAATTTTGTTTGTCATAGTTTGTGTGTGGGTGCTGAATGAGAGCGACGGGTTAAGCCATAAACCAAGATATTTAAATTTATCAATAAAACATAAGTAACTTGTTGACTCAGACTGATTCAACAATTAAAATTAAAAATCTATTTCATGATGTAAATATTAACACAGACAGAGAGATTTGTTCAGTTTAAATGTGAAACATGTGCATTTAAACTGCACAAATTTATCTATCTATGCCAATATCGACATCATGAAATCGATTTTTAAAATTTTAAATCTAGAATCAGTCTGAGTGAACAAGGAGTTTAATAATCACCTTTAAGTTTTCGTCTTTCTTCCCTTGATAGTAGGGATGGGTATAATTAGTCGATTAATCGATAATTGTTCATTAAGAATTTCATCGATTACGTTCATTTTAATCGAC